TTGTTCCAGTTTTGTGAAATACGTCATTGGTATTTTTATGGGGATTGCATTGAATCTATAGATTGCTTTGGGTAATATGGACATTTTAATGATGTTAATTCTTCTAATCAATGAACAAGGTATGTGCTTCGACTTTTCACATCTTCCTCTATTTCTCTTTGCAATATCCTGTAGTTTTTGGTGAAGAGGTCCTTTATTTATTTGGTTGAGTTTATTCCTAGGTATCTTAATTTTTTTGCTGCGATAGTAAATGGGATTTTTTTTAAGTTTCTCTTTCTGTGAGTTCATCATTGGTGTATAAGAATGCCATCAATTTCTTGATGTTAATTTTGTATCCTGCTACTTTGCCAAATTCACTTATTAAGTCTAGTCGATTTTTGATGGAGTCTTTAGAGTTTTCTACATAAAATAGCATGTCATCTGCAAGTGATGACCGTTTCACTTCCTCCTTTCCCCACTAGATCTCTTTATTTTTACTTCATGTCTGATTGCTGTGGCTAAGACTTCCAGTACTATGTTAAATAAGAGTGGCAAAAGTGGGCTTCCCTTTCTTGTCCCTGTTCTTAAGGAAAATGCTTTTAGTTTCTGCCCATTGAATATGATGTTGGCTGTAGGTCTTTCATATATGGTCTTTATTATGTTGAGATATGATACCTCTATTCCCACATTGCTGAGCATTTTAGTCAGAAATGGGTGCTGGATTTTGTCGAATGCTTTTTCCACATCCATTAATAAGATCATGTGGTTTTTATTCTTCATTATTCATTAAGATCGTGTAGTTTTATTCTTCAACAAATGGTGGATGGTATTTATTGATTTGTGAATATTGTACCAGCCTTGCTTCCCTGAAATGAATCCTACTTGGTCATGATGAATAATTTTTTTTTGATGTTTTGCTGAATCTGATTTGCTACTATTTTGTTCAGAATTTTGGCATCTATGTTCATCAGGTATATTGGCCTGTAGCTTTTTTCTTTGTAGTGTCTTTTTCTGGCTTTGGAATTAGAATTATGCTGGCCTCATAAAACATGTTTGGAGGTCTTCCTTCTTCTTGAATTTTTAAAAATAGTTTGAGGAGAATGGGTGTTAGTTCTTCTTTGAATGTTCAATAAAGCTCCCCCATAAAGCCATCCGGACCTGGGGTTTTGTTTGCTGAGAGAGTCTTAATTACTTCTTCAATTTCCTTAGTTGTTATTGGTCTGTTCAAATTTTCTATCTCTTCCCAGTCCAGTTTTGGGAGACTATGTAATTCCAGAAATTTGTCCATTTCACTTAGGTTGTCAAATTTGTTGGCATATAATTGTTCATAGTATTTGTTAACAATCCTTTATATCTCTGTTGTGTCAGTTTTTACTGCTCCTCTTTCGTTTCTAATTTTGTATATTTGGGTTCTCTCTCTTTGTTTCTTGGTGAGTCTAGCTAAAGGTCCATTGATCTTGTTTATCTTTTCAAAAAACTAGCTCTTTGTTTTATTGATTCTTTGAAATTTTTTTTTTTTTTTTTTTTTTGTCTCTATGTCATTTATTTCTGCTCTGATTTTTACTATTTTCTTCCTTCTACATGCTCTGGGTTTTCTCTTTGTTTGCTTTCTAGTTCTTTAAGTTGTGAGGTTAGATAGTCTATTAGAGATTTTTCTTGTTTTTTGAGGTAGGCCTGTAGTACTATGAACTTCCATCTCAGAACTGCTTTCACTGCATCACATCGATATTGTGTTGTTGTGTGTTCATTTTCATTGGTTTCCAGGATGTTTTTAATTTCTTCCTTGATCTCCTTGGTAACCCATTCATTGTTTAATAACGTGCTATTTAGCCTCCATGTGCTCCAATGTCGTTGCATGCTCTTGTTGCAATTGATTTCTAGTTTCATGCCATTGTAATCTGAGAAGATGCTTGATATGATTTCAGTCTTCTTGAACTTGTAGAGACTTATTTTGTGTCCTAACATGTGGTGTGTCTTTGAGAATGTCCCATGTGCACTTGAGAAGAATGTGAATTTTGTAGATTTGCAGTATAATTCTCTGTAGATATCTATTAAATCTATTTGGTCTAGTGTTTCATTTAGGGTCTCTGTTTCCTTGCTAATTTTTTGTCTAGACGATCTATCCAGTGCTGTCAACGGGGTGTTGAAGTCCCCTGCTATGATTGTATTGCTATCGATTTCTCCTTGGAAGTTCTCCAGAAGATTTTAAATATATTTTGGTGCTCCTATATTGGGTGCATATATGTTTATCAAGGTTATATCTTCCTGTTGGATAGATCCTTTTAATATTATGTAGTGGCCTACTTTGTCTCTAGTTATGGCCTTCATTTTGAAATCTATGTTATCAGATATGAGTATTGCTACCCCAGCTTTTTTTTTCCTTTCCATTTTCTGGGAAGATTTTTTTGCATCCCTTCACTTTTAACCTGTATGAGTCTTTTATTGTCAGGTGGGTCTCTTGTAAACAACATATAGATGAGTCATACTTTCTGATCCAATCAGCTACTCTGTGTCTTTTTGTGAGAGCATTCAATCCATTTATATTTAACGTGATTATTGATATGTATTTATTTATTGCCATTTTTGTTTAGTGTGGTTATATTTTTCTTCCTATTTCTTCTACTAATTACAGCAGTCCTTATAACATTTCTTGCAGGGCTGGTTTGGTGTGAATGTATTCCCTTAGCCTTTTTCTGTCTGAGAAGCTCTTTATTTGACCTTCCATTTTGAATAATAGCCCTGCTGGGTAGAGTAGTCTTGGATTCAGATCCTTTTTTTTTTTTTCATGACCTTGATTACCTCATGCCATTCCCTTCTTTCCTGTAGTGTTTCTGTTGAGAAGTCAGCTCACAGCCTTATGGGGTTTCCTTTGTAGGTAACCTGTTGCTTATCTCTCTTCCTGCCTTTAGGATTCTCTCTTTGTCTTTAATTTTTGGCATTTTAACTACTATGTGTCTTGGTGTGGGCCCGTTTGGATTCTTCTTATTTGGGGCCCTCTGTGCTTCTTGAACTTGAATGCCTTCTTCCTTCACCAAATTAGGGAAGTTTTCTGTCACTATTTCTTCAAATATATCCTCTAACCCTTGTCCATTTTCTTTTTCTTCAGGGACTCCTATGATGCAAATATTGTTACATTTCTGGTTGTTTCACTGTTCTCTTAAGCTGTCTTCCTGTTTTTTAATTTTTTTTTTTTCCTTTCAGTTTTCTAATTGGTTGATTTTTTTTCTACCCTGTCTTTTAATTCACTGATCCAGTCCTCTGCTTCCTTTACTCTGCAGTTTAGTCCTTCCAATGTGTTCTTTATTCTGCTATGTCATTCTTCATTTCTTCTTGATGGTGTTTAATTTCCAATTGATTGATTTTCAATGTTTCTATGTCTTTACTCGTGGGGCTCATGTCCCTACCCATGCTGTTGAGCTTCCTCAAGATCATGGCTCTGAATTCTAGCTCTGTTAACTTGCTTAACTGTGTTTCATTTGTCTCATCTTCGGTAGAGGTCTCTTTTTCATTCATCTGGGATTTATTATTTTGTTTCACCATTTTGGCTATCTCAGTGGGTTTTGGATTCTGCCAAATTTTTTCTGTGGGTATTGGTGTTCTGCTGTTTGTGGCTCCCTCTACTGGGTTTGAATGAGCCTGGGTGGGCCCACGTTAAACATCACTGTCAAGTCTTACTTTCCTGGGTAGAGTTTCGAACCCAGGAAAGGTTCAGTTATCCTCTAGCTTTTTGCCAGGAGGCTATTAGTGGGTTACTTGAAGAGCCTGGGATTCTCAGTTGAATGAAAAAATCCCTCAGGCATTCAGAGTAAGGGGATTTCCCGAGGGTGGGGTAGATGCTGATTGTTAATGAGCCTCAATTTTTATTTTAATGGCCTACAGGGTGGGGTTGAATCTCTGAGTGGGAGGCCACCACCTCTCCCCAGGGCCTTGGGAAGGAGTAAGATGGCCACAGTCCTGTGTGGCCACATGTCAGCAAAAGCTCTGAGCATCCTCCAAATGCCAAGCATCCTCCAAATGCCGAGTGTCCCCACACAGTTCCAATCCAGTCTACCCTCCCTCTGCCAGAGCCCCAGGTGAGTGGCTGTGGCTATTTCAGTGCTCTGTCCTGGTATTGCACTCTGGAGCAGGGAGTTTAACCCCGAGGTGCTGCTCACAGCTAAGGCCACTGCTATCTGTGGGCCCCCAGCCCCCCTCTCACACCTCAGCAATCCTACCAGAGTCTTTTCAGTGTCCCTGGTTATATGGTCCTCACAAGCTGCTTTTCTGTTGTTTTTTTCCTGACAATTTGTCTTTATTTACGTTGTAATTCCAGTTTGGTCCTGGGAGATGGTCTGTGTAGCTTCATTCACTCTGCCACCATTTTAGAATCCTTCAAGGAATTTTTTTAAGTAGGTACAAATGAGCTAAGCTATTCTGCAGCTATATGTGGTAGTGCTAATTCTAAATAATGTTTTAATTTTCAATGTGGTAGTTAGAATGTCTGCTTTCCTGTTAGCTTTTCTTTCTTTCTTTCTTTCTTTCTTTCTTTCTTTCTTTCTTTCTTTCTTTCTTTCCTTCTTTCTTTCCTTCTTTCTTTCTTTCTTTTCTTTCTTTCTTTCTTTCTTTCTCTCTTTCTTTCTTTCTTTCTTTCTTTCTTCTTTCTCTTTCTCTCTTTCTTTCTTTCTTTCTTTCTCTCTCTCTTTCTTTCTCTCTCTCTTTCTTCCTCCCTCCCTCCCTCCCTCCCTCCCTCCCTCTCTCTCTTTCTTTCTTTCTTTCTTTCTTTCTTCTCTTCTCTTTCTCTCTCTCTCTCTTTCTCTCTTTCTCTCTTTCTCTTCTTTCTTTCTTTCTTTCTTTCTTTCTTTCTTTCTTTCTCTTCTCTTCTTTCTTCCTTCCTTCCTTCCTTCCTTCCTTCCTTCCTTCCTTCCTTCCTTCCTTCCTTCCTTCCTTTAAATTAACAGTCAATTTTATTGGGCTCAGACCAGGAGTCCAAGCGTCTTGAGGACCACTGTGTACGTGCCAATCTTCTTCACATTCTTTTCAGCCTATTTCCATGGCCTCATGAGCTGCTTTTTCTTCCAGTAGTGGATCTTGGCCTTCTCCTTCCTCTTCTCCAGCATTGCTGTGACCGCCTGGGACTTCCAGCCGACCTCATGAGCCAGGCAGCCTAGGTGAGCAAACTTCCACGTAGGCTTCAGACGCACAACCTTGAGGGCCACAGGAACCACCATCCACTTTTTCTTGTCATAGGGCGGTGGGATCCCATCAAACACCTGGAGGCGGTCCAAGGCGGCCTGGCCTCGCTTGGTTTTGAGGGGCAGCGAGCCTCGCACCGGCCGCCAAAAGATGCGGCTGGGGGCTTGGAAGTGGGAAGGACCACGGGATGGGTTGGTGTTCATCTGCTTGCGGAGGAAGGCCAGGTACTTCAATTTGTTTCTATAGAAGTTGCCAGAGATATTGATGCCCTCACAGTGCACGACCACCACCTTTCAGCCCAGCAGTACCTGCTTGGCCACAGTGGCCGCGAGGCGGCCCAGGAGATGGCCTCAGCCATCAAGCACCAGGACCTGCCTCTCCGCCATCTTCAGCACCACCTGGGAAAACTGTTAGCTTTTCAAATAGTTGTTTGGAATACAATGTTGCATTGTCCCAGTCCAAGGGTTATTTTGTCTAGTTTAAACATTCCAAAGGTTTGAAGAGTAAAATGAGCAGGGCAGTTCCTCTGGGATGGCAGCTCTGAGTCTATTTTGAAGTAGATACATTTATATACTTTTCACAGAAGAAAGAAATAAAAACAGAAAAGATAAATACAAATTCAAGATGGCAATATTTTTCAAACTTTCTGTTGATGAGGATACAGTCAAATTTCAGTTGAACACATTTTAGCATATTCTTCAATAATAAATTGTTAATTAGACTATTACTTAAACATTTAATTTAAATGCTTTAGTGTTCTGTGTGCAATTCTTATTACTTTTAATTTCAAATTAATTATTAATGCTACTTGTCTAAAATATACAAATGTATAAGAAAAACAAATAATCTCACCACCTCCCTCACCCCCTAATCACCAATTTTTAGGTGGCTTTAACAGTTATATAACATAATAGATAGAGTAAATATTATTTATTCAACCATTGTGTTATTTTCTCAAATACTAATAGGTCATGTTAGAATTGTTCCCAATAATATTGTAATAGTTCACAGTATCCCTAAAATGTAGGAAAATAGTTTTTTACCCCTTTTCTTGATTTCCTAACACTAATAGATGGCATTGATCATCATGTTTTGTTGGCTTTGTTTTTGTATTATCTTTTGAAAATATGAAATGTCATTTTATTATTGGCTTTACTTGACCCTTTTTTAACCACTGGTGAGGTTTCATTTTTTTTTTTTTAGTTTATTGGTTATTTTGATTTCTTCTTTTGTGAATCACCATATTTTGTTTTATTCATATGTATTATATTTCTAAGATTCATCGTCATACATAGTATATTTTTTTCAGTATTCTCCAGAGTAATAGAACCAATAGGATATATATAAAGAGGAGAGATTTATTTTAAAGAATTGGTTCATGTGATTATGGGATCACTCAAGTCTGAAATTTGTAAGGTAGGTCAGCTAGCTGGAAATTGAGATAAGAATTGAATTTGCAGTATTGAGTCTGAAATCTATGGGGCAGGCCAGCAGGCTGAAAACTTAGTCATGACTTCTATGATACAGTCTTAAGATATAATTCTTTTTTCTATGGGACATCTCAGTTTTTGCTTTTAAAGGCTTTAACTGATTGGATGAAGCTTGCCCACATTATGGAGGGAAATCCTCTGTACTTAAAGTAAATTGATGGTAAATGTTAATCATATTTACAAAACACCTTTACAGCAGCATCTAGTATAGTGATTGACAAAACGACTGGTCAAGTTAACACAAAAAATTAGCTATTGCATTTGCATAGAACCTCATTAATTCATTCTGACTGCTGTATAATAGTCTATGGGCTGCCTTTCTCAGTTTATTCTTTATCAATTTTTGTGCATATAGGTTGTTTCTTGGTTTTTGCTATTATACATAATGTTTCTAAAGATATTTTTGTATTTTTACTAAGTGTTACAGTATTTCTTAGCTAATTAGTACATTTCTAAAAAGAAGAGGAGGAAGTTACGGCTTACCTTATAACATGCCATGACCTGTTATAAACCTATTGTACTTAAGATAATATGATAAGGCACAGGAATAATAAACTGATTCACCAAATATAAGTGAGAACCCATGCATGTATAGTGTTTTAATGACATGTAGATAAGTTGGGAAAATAAAATCTATTCAGTAAGTAGCAATGGAAAAAATATTATCCATATAAAGAAAGATTAATTGAATTTCAATTTTCTATGTTAAGGAAAAACACACTAAAGAAAACTAAAATCATAAAAGTAGATTCTCATAATACACAATTAAAAATATTATCAATGTATATAAAAATGCATTCAACAAATTTGTACGGACACAGCTCAAAAGTACCATGGATAGTGGACATATTAAGCATTTCTCAAACACATATAAAACAATGTGAAACATAATTATAATTAGTGAAAATTATATCAAAATTTCAAAATCACCCCCCCACAAAAATCATTCTATAAGCATTAAATTACTTATTTTTATAATGCAGTGTGCCTTTATGTCATCAATTGATAGAAAACCACTGTTTATTAGGGACACTGCTCTTTGCCTGCTATGTATGTTACATAGTATATTATTTACCTTCTTCCTTTTTTTCATTTCTTATATTTTACAATTTTGGTGGTCATTATGATTGCAGTTTTTTATTTGATGTAGCCAATGTCTCTCTGTTTCTTCATCAGGCAATGCGATGCATATAATCTAATTATTAATTATAATTTTAAAAATTTACTCAAAACCACTTTGAAGTATCCTATTAAATGATAAAAGTTTGAATATATGTTCCATTAAATCTGGTAAAAAATGCTCAGGATGACAACTTTTCCCAATATTTTTGAACCCTAGCTTTATGTTCCGGTTAAATGAAGAAATGCAGAATATTAGCTATAGCTAAGCTACCTTCTAATTAAAATTTTAGACATTTTACAGATGATAACATAATTACTTTTTAAAATTATAGCTGTGTTTTGTTGTCTGGGCTTTATTGTTCAAAAATACGGTGACTCACTTTGATGAATCAGTTGGAAATTCCAAATGTACTCCATGTATCAACTGAATTGATTCTATTTGAGATAGAAATAAATTGTCCTTAAACTTTTATTACAGCGTATTGGAAAATACATTGACTTTTACAGGATCTCTCTAATTCTCAAGAGGCAATGTCTTATAAAGTTTGCTTTTGCTAAATTAGTTCAATTAGGCAGTCATATGCTATTACCTTTGAACTGTCTTGTTCTCCACCACATTTGTCCAACTACAAAACTTTGTCCTTTAATTTGTATGTACACATCCATAAACACACATACACACATAAGCACACAAATATACCACTATTTTAGGTCAACTGTGTATGCAGTGTGGTGTAGGGAATGTCAGGAGACAAGGAAAGATGCAGAATGTATTATTATATCCATTTAAGGTGTCATAGTCTGATCATTACCTTCTACTTTCCAGCTCATCTACTCTAATAGCCCAACTCAAACAATCCTTAAACAATACCAAATCTGGACCTTCTTCAGTCCTTAGATCCTTCCTGGTTTTCACTGTCTATGGCCTGCTTTATACTCTTACTTCACTCTTTACCCACCTTGCATCACAAAGAAAATGATCAGAATCACCTTATTACATATAGCTCTCAAATCCTTTCTAGCTTCGTAGTCCTTACTAAGTTAAATCACAATCCTGGGTAAACCTAAGTGTTTACTCTCTTATCTTTACCTATGTGAGCAAACATAGGTGAGAAAAACATATGGATTGCTTTCATCTTAAATTCATGATCAAAAACCTTATTTGTGTCCTTAAGTAGTTGGCAATTAGACCGCCATTGAGCTTAGGCATTCGCATTTTACTAATTATTTCACAACATATCCTGTTTCATCAAAATACGGCCCTTCCTTGCCCAGCATCGCATCAAACGGGTGATATTGCTGCTTATTTCACTGAATCTTTCACCACAACATCTCTCTCCTTTTAACCCATTTACTTTTTTTGAACTATTTTTTCTCATAGCTCAGGTCGCTCTCTTTACCTATACTATATCATTTATTCAAATAGTGTATTCCAAGAAACTTTTGTTTCCTCTTACATCTTTAATATTTATAATTCTGCTGGATAATTCCTGTAAGTGTAAACATACGAACATTGTCCAAACGTAAAATTTGCAAATCTTTTCCGTTATGCCCCATGTGGAGTAGCTGCAATCTTACTAATGTTCTTACTGTTAACTAATTATAAAAGATAATCATAATATAGAAACAACTGCTTACAAAATTTAGACAATAATTGGCAAGTCTACAGTCAGTGAAGCAAAGGGAGAAAAGTAACAAAGTCAGCGATTCCTTCTGCTAACCCAGAGCATCTCCAGACAATCATGGTTCGGGAAATGCGAACAGGAGCAAGGATTTCACATCACAGCCATCGCTCTGGACTCAGTAAGCAGAGGTGGGAGGTCAGGTCTGGCTCGATGCCGTGGATCCTCTCTGGGTGAGAATCCAAACAAGGGGGATTTGTAGGAAAGCAATCTCACAAATCTGTGTAAGCATTCTGATAGTTTCTCTGTTAGCTCCTATTCCAGTACACACAGGGTGGATTTCTGAGGCTTAGCAGAGAACAGCGACCTTACGTGTTGAATACCTATGAGAGATTTCAGAGGTTACACAAGGCTGAAAATATATTGAGGTCCACATACATCAAAGTAGAGAAAAACTCTTTTCAAATGGACGTGGAGCATTTTCCAAAATAGATCTTATACTGGCCATAAACAAAGTTTTGATAATTTTCAAAACTTGAATTGATACAGTGTTTGTTCTCTGACCACTGTGAAGTTTAATTAGAACTAAATTACAGAAAAAAATTGTTAGAAAATGTTTAAGAATTAAAAATAATCCATAGTTTGAAGAAAAAAATCAAAATAGATATTAGAAAATACTGAATAGCTAAAAAATAATAAAAGTACAATATGTTAAAACTTGTAAAATATAGTTGAAGTAGTGCTAAGTGGGAATTTATAGCTTTAAATGTATATAGAAGCAAATAAGAATTGTTTAAAATCAATAGTCTAAGCTTCTACATTAGAGAGCTAGAAAAATAAACAAAATTAAACCTGAAATAAATAGAAGGACATAAATAAAGTAATAATAACAACAAATAAAGGAATTAATCCAATTTTTTATAATTCTTACCTGAGGATATTTTTTTATTGATTTTAAAGAGAGAAGAAGGGAGAGAGAGAATCATTGATGTGAGACAGAAACATCCATTGGTTGCTCATCCCCACCCCAGAATATACCCTGACTGGGAATCGAACCCACAACCTTTTTTGGTATACAGGATGACACTCCAACTAACTGAGCCACCTAGCCAGGGTAAGCAATGAATCAATTTAAAGTAAAA